TCAGGTCCCTGGCCCCTGCTTCTCAGGGAAGTCAAGATCAGAGAAGCGGGAACCAGCAGTTAGCGTAATGGCTACGTCGCTGGACTCCCACGTAGTCGACCACGGTTCGTGTCCCGGACCTGGTGGCTTAAAACTCACGCCGGGCGCGTGTGCGTGCGTGCCCAAGATCCCGAGAGGAGAATGGAGGAGAAGAGATTGCGGCGTGACCATCCCCCCTGGGGGGTGATTTCTCGCTTTCTGTCTCTCTGTCTCTCTCTGTCTGTCTGGCGAGCGCACGCGCCCTACGGTGAAAATCTCTCAAAAAAAAAAAAAGATCAGAGAAGCTGGGCCAGTTGGACCCGTGTGGGAAGGTCCATGCTTTGTGTCCCAGCCTCACTGCTGACACAGGGTGTGCACGTGCCTGTGATCTGGGTGGCTGAGATGGGCTGGACTGCAGTGTGGGGACCCTGTGGGGCACCTCTCTCTCTCATGGTAGAAACAAGTAAGTTTAAAAAAAAAAAAAAAGATTGGAGACTCTGCTGCATGAGAGGAAGACCCGGTGGACTGCAGGCTCCTTTTCAATGTGCCTGAAATGGGGTCTCCTGAAGTGTCACCTCGTGGGCCAGGCCGAGCAGCCTCCATCCATCCAACCAGAGGTCGAGGTTGTCACCATACGCTGTTTGTGGGGGTCCTGGCTGCTCTCGGGGTCATTCTTTCACTGTGGCTTGGCTGCCATGATTCAGGGGACCGGAAGCTGGACCTGGGGTCACAGTATCCTGGGGTTCCAGAAGCCAGTGGGTCAGCACTGAGGCGGACACTTTTTCCAGCTCACACGGCCTGTCCCTAGTGCTCACAGCAAAGGCCACTAAGCAGCAGAAGGCCTGGACTCAATCCCTGCTGTTGGCTGCCTTTTTGGTTTTGTTTTCAGTTGTTGCTATAAGGTGTGTACTCTTGCCAGAGAGAGACAGAGAGAGAGAGAGAGAAACCACCCTCCGGAGGGATGGCCACGCCGCAGTCCCTTCTCCTCCATACTCTTCTTGGAATTTTGAGCATGCATGCACATGGATTTCAAGCCACCTGGTCTGGACTTGAACAGTTCAACTAGCCCTGTGCGACCCAGCGCCTTAACCTCCAGGCCATCTGCTAGGCTCCTCGCTGCCCTTTTGTGAACACTCACTAGGAGCTCAGGGACAAGTACTTCACGTACGAGTCGAGTTGTCCACGGAGCTGTTGCCAGGTGGTGCCGGCACTGAGCGCCAGCTCTGAGGGCCCCACATGTCCGCCTTCCACACTACGTGGAGCCGCTCGGCCCCACTGGGGCCTGCTGGGTGCCCCTCCCACACGTGCTTGTTCTGTCCACACGCAGGAGGGCCAAGGTGGGTAGGCCGATCACAAGCCCTTCGCACCCACGCACCCATGGCACGGTCTGCAAGAATTATTTACGGGGCCAGCAGGTGGCATGGTGGTAAAGATGCTGGACTCCCACATGGCTGGCATAGTTCGAGTCCTGGACTTGGTGGCTTGCTTTCTCTCCCTCTCTCTGTCTCTCTCTTGAACACATGTGTCCTATAGCAAATGAAATGACAATAATAAGTAAAATAATAATTAAAAAAAGAACTTATTCACACCTGCTTCCTGGATGAGAACAGTATTTTCCTCACAGGAAGGTGCATGCAGCGGGCTCTGGCTGCTCACGGTGTGAACGTCTCTGCACACGCGGGCTCCGTAATGCGTTGAACCCTCACCCCTGAGGCCAACACAGGGTTTAGGCTTCAGTAGCGGACGTCACCCATCAGGTCACCTACCATGGCACCTCATTTCCCTTCATTGATAGTGCTGGTCCCCTCAGGGCCATGGTCCGAATTAAGGTCACCAACACACGTGTGGTCTAAGGCACGTCACAGCCATCTTGTGCTTTGGGACGCTAGACAGCACTTTGGCACTGTGCATGGGGCTATTTTAAATCACCCACTATGCGGTTCAAGTCTCAGACCCTGTGACTTGAAAATCACACCAGGCACATGTGTGTGCATGCCAGAATCCAAGAGAATGAAAGGATTGCGGTGTGGCCATCCCCCGGGCGATTGCGCAGTCTCCTTCTCTGCCTCTCTGGTGAGCACATGCACCCTACACACACAAGCCTGCGACGAACCTGGCACTAGCAGACTGCAGAGGCTTCGTCCACATGGAGAGCCCAAACGAGGCTCGTGGCCTGGCTCCACCTTGGCTGGGAACATGTGCCCCAGCGAACGTGAATGTTTTGTGACAAATGACCCCAAAAGTTTCATGAGAATTGCTTTTGGGGTCACAAATAGATTTTAGCGAGTTGGTGAATTTGTGAATCCGGAGCCCCTGGCTGGTGGGCCACACTGACTTGGCGGGGATTGGATCCACTCCTTCATGTGGTGGTGACCACAGGACTGTCCGTGCCCTAGATCAAGTGTGAAGAACTGGGCCCAGTGGGCTCGTGCCTGTGTGAGGAGGGGCAGGTCAGAGCCTCTGATCAGAGCCCTCATCTGTAAAGTGGGGACTTCTCCTGGGGCATGGAGACCAATGCAGGTGCCACCAAAGGGCCCCCAAGACCAAGGACAGATGACCACTGTTTCAACGTGATGAGGGCTGTCCTCACTTCCCCTTCCACCCACACAAGACACCCACCCAGGGCCGGCAGCCCCCGCGGAATCGAGTGTCAAGCTACTTTCTGGCCATTAAACTCCGACTCTATCCGGACCATTTGCATTAGCCATCTTCAAAACCCCAGCTGGGCCCTGGTGAACCGGGCAGGCTCGGAAACAGCAGCGCCGAAGCCAGCCCAAATCTGCGGCCCGTGGTGTCCACACACTCTTGGAGCGGGCGCTGTGACATGCCATCTGTGTCCCAGCCATCCTACTGGGCGCTGCGGCACTGAGCCACCCTACCAGGGCACTGCAGTACTGTGGGACTGTGGGGGCTGCAGGGCCCCATGGAAGGTTGCCCACCCGAGGAACCCTGTAGACAGTGCGTCCTACCTGATAAGAGTTGGGCGGTGGCTGGAGGCGCAGGGCCAGTTCCCCTGGCCCAGCCCCAGCCCCGGTGGGGTGAGGGTCCCCTCAGCAGGGCCCCGTGAGGCTGCAGCCCGAGTGCGCACATGTGGCGGGGTGGGGGGCAGATGCTCTGGAGACAGACTGGGCACCGCCCGGCCCCCGCCTCCCCGAACACAGCCGACCTTCCAGTGATGACCATGCAGCTTTCTTAATGGAACACAATCGCTGAACTTGGTACGTTTCGAGCACTTTAGCCCTCCAGGACACCAGACTGCTGATGAAAACCGTCTTCCGCGGGCGCCATGAAAATGAGAGGCCAAATTTCATATGCTTGCAAACTTTCCCCCCGCCTCCTGCTGGACTGCACCCCCTCCCCCCAATAAAAGATTGCATCAGAGAGAGAGATTTCCATAATTTATAGCATGGGCATTTCACTGGGGACAAGCGCTAATCTGTACTTACCGATACATTTAAGAAAATGCATCCTCCCGCAAGCCTGCACCATTTATGACTCTTGGCACAAACCGCAATGCTCAGTCTTCAATTAAGGGACACCTTAGGGTTCATTATCACACAATCGCTCCCTGTGAACCATGCCAAATGCTGTTTTGGCACAGAGCTTGGAAGATGAATTAGAAGGAAGTCTTCTCTGTAATGCCCTCTCCCCAACTCCCATTACCGTCATGTGTCTATGCCCTTCTCTTCCTCCGCCCCCTCCCCCTGCTCTCCAAGTGGCTTTTACTATTCAATTTCTCAACGTCAAACTCGATTCTCTAGAGGTGTAGTTAAAGATGCCACATCTCCTTTTTGTCTTCCGGCTCTCAACAGGCCTCGGAATGGCCGCAGATGGGCTGCTGTCCACACCCGCTTTTGGCCCGAAGGAGCCACAGATGCTCCCCCCGCCCCCGCTAGCTTGGGCTGGAGGAAAGACAAGGGCCGGCACTGGAAATGCGCACACGCTCGGGGCTCGGGCCAGGGAGGTTCGGATCAGGTCTGAGCATGGCCCACCTGACTTGGGCAAAGGCTCAGGGCAAGGCAGAGCCTGCTCGGACATCCAAGCAGACAGCTGGACTCAAAGCCAGCGGCTCCCACCCGCAGGAAGAGGACAAAGGCCTGAGGCTGATCGTCCCTCCATAGCCCTCCAGTGCAGGGACCGCACTGTCCCAGTGTCCTGAAACCACAAGACCCACCAGGACGGTAACTATGGAAGACGCCCCTGCTGTTTCCCCGAATGAGCACGGGCACTAGCGCGGTCCTGCTCTCGCTCACTGGCCGCTGGCAGGGCTGAGGCAGAAGACACGCCACCCAAGTCAGGTGGGAGGTGATGGCCACAGGCGGCAGCCAGAGGGAGGCAGGTGGCAAGTCGAGCTCTAGAGACTGTGTGCTGGGGGGGAGGGTGCAGAGGTGTGTGGGGTGGGCCCACGGGTCGCCGACCCGTGCTGACCTGTTCACGTGCCCTTCCATGAGTTAGTCAGCGCCACGAAGGTCCAGTACCGCTGCCCGAGGGACATTGCTTGTCGACTTCTCAGTGTCACGCCACTCAGAGGTGCTTAGATGCGACCAGTAAGAGGGGCTGACAGTAACCACGCCTTGAGTCACAGTGTCAAATTATATGAATAAAATGAGTTAGACCAAGTCGCTACATCCAGGCAGTGTCCCTACCAAGTCGGGCTGACGCAGCGCATGGTGACCAGCGGGGCCAGCGGTCCTCTCGTGCCACTCTGGTAGTGGCGGGCGGTGGCCAGGGGTGGGGGGAAGCAGACAGAAAGCGACAGACTGAGAATACTTGGCCCACAAGACATCTTGTGGAAATTTTATTATATAGAGTGTAAAATGAATTGTCAGTCAAATAAAAAGAACACTTTTTAAAATAACATGCATAACATTTTCCAATTGCCTTTTTTAATAGTTAGACATTTCAAGCATTGTAAGGAAAATAAGGAGAAAAAACCAGGAACCATAACTTCAGTATGTTTCAAACGGAATGTCCCTCAGGTCAATTAAAAATGCAAGAAAAAATAGCTTCAATTCCGTTTTTTTTTTTTCCTTTAAAAATACATGTTATCTGTACAAGATACGCTACAGTAAACATTGAAAATCATATTATCCCTTTTATTAAATCAAAATTATTTAATTCATACTGTGGTTAATACTAGATTTATTTATTCATCTAGTTAATCTGACACATATTAAGAAAATATTTAAAAGAGAAAAGCAAAAACACCTTGGAATTAAAAAATAGTTACTACATTTTCATACGGTTTAATGTTCCACAGTGTTTGTTAAAAGTTATACTGAATTTCTTTTTAATATTAAAAATAACAGTATTTATATTTCTGAGAGAATAGAGAAATGTTTTTTGTTTTGTTTTTAAAACAAGCTTGGAGGTCTTAGATACACAATTGCAGCCGGTAAATGGAGACATAAGAAAAACATCCGCTAAACACATGAACACATTTTATATTACGCCTTTAGAACTCTAGAAATTATACAAACCCTATAAAACACCCCCTCCCAACCCCTGTTGGACAGCAATACAATTATGTCTCAATTCAGAATTCACATAATTAATTACAATACATCATAGTTCAGTTTTTTTTTAAAAAAAATGCAATAAAACCAGACAGCCAAGATACAAGAAATTAGAAGTAAAACATTTAATGAATTTACACATTTAAGAATATTTAAATACTGTTTAAAAATTTTTAAAAAGAATTCGTTACATACCACCTAAGTCTTCCAAGCCACTTTCTGTTGCAACAGAAAAAAACTGTAAATAAAAAGACACAGAAAACAAAACAAAACAAAACAAAACAAAAACCAAAAACACCATGTTGAAATGTCACTGCTCTGTGGCACAATCTGGTGCCTGGATTTGCAGGTATTGCTCCAAAAAGAATCCCAGAGCTTACACACTTGAAACAAACAGAAATAATGACGAAAATGATCAGCAATTTTTAGTAACTAATTTTCCCGATTTTTAGAAAAATTCTGTTAATCTAAATATAGTGTTTCACAGAATAAAACAAGGTTCTTCATCAAAAGGTTTGCAAATCTAAAAACCTCTGTTACAAACAGGTTTCCTGTCACACTGGTCGGAGGGAAGAGCAGCCGTGCGGGCGGGCGCTGTCCTATTGTTCCTGCGGGAGGAAGGGGAGTGGGTCAGTCTGGCAAACCCCAACCCACCTGTGGGGAGGGCACGGACCATCCGCTCCCTTCTGACCCCACATGGGCACCGACACACGAGACGAGGC